GGGGGGTTGGACTAGATGACCCACAGAGGTCCCTTCCAACCCCTACTATTCTGTGATTCTATTCTGTGATTCCTGTGGAGATTTTGAGGACTAAAAATGAGTATTTGCCTGTCAAGCTTAGAGGCATGAGTTGATTCAAGCTATTGGGTGTTTTTGACATGAATCTTTTTATATTATAAATCTTGTGTATTTGAGAATGTTATCAAAAGTAAATATTTTGAAGTTGGGCTTTGAGCAACCTGATCTTATGAAAGATGTTCCTGACCAGTGGCAGGGAGGTTGGACTACATGATCTCTGAAGGTCCCTTGCAACCCAGACCATTCTATGAATCTATGATCCTTCACTGCAAGACCATAAAATGTGCAAAGAAAATGTTCTTTTAAAATATCATTGACTAATAATCTTTAGCAGGTATAACATTCCTATTTTTTTTTCTTTAGAGTAGCTGACAATGCAGTTTTAAGGTTTTTTGTCAGTGTGAATGTGCAGTTTGAATCTTGCAGCAAAAGTTTTGCTACCCTGTTGCTGAGTTTTGTTATAAATGTAAAAATGATTGTATGTATTGGGGATGGAAGGTTCATGAAGTAGAAGGATTTTTGACAGAGCAGAAGAAATGAGGTGCAAGTAAACCCTGCTGGAATTTGAAGATGTCTTTACTCCCCCCAAATAGTAGTTTTTGCTGTGAATAAGATTTCCATGCATCCAGCAGCATGGAGGAGCAGGTAGAGACTCTGCATCCATATTGATAAATTGCTACATGAAGGTATAATAAGACTTGCTTCAACTTTTATTGCAGGTATGTCTGTCTTTGAGAAATGTAAAGTATGTAGGATCTTAGATACTTTTTCTATTATTGAGCATATATCTGTGCAAAAGCTTGCTTTTCCTGGCAGTGGCCTGCTTTCATGGATAGATCTGAAAAACAGTCATTCCTTCCTTTGTGATGATACGTTCTGAAAGGGTAAATCTGAATACGCACACTGATTTTGTGTGTATGTTTCTCAGGTGTTTGAAGAAACTGGGTTTGACATAAAAGATTATATCTGCAAGGAAGAATACATTGAGCTGCGAATTAATGATCAATTAGCACGGCTGTACATCATTCCAGGAGTTCCGAAGAACACAAAATTCAACCCCAAAACTAGAAGGGAAATTCGGGTATGTGTTGTCTTGTTTGAATCTGTAGGAACCTTGTTGTGGAGTTTGATTTTTTTTAAAGCTAATGGTCTGTAAAATAATGAACCTACCAAGCATGAGGAGTACCTCAGATACTAGGTATAAATGGCATCTCTGCAGTGTAGTGTTGTTTTGTCAACTTTGCAGCTCCACTGTGATGACTGATTGTTGACTGACTGTCTGTCTGACATCTCCATTCATCATGAAAACAACATTAGAGCATGCTGTCAAACTATAATTCTCACCTGCTTTTCTCTTAGGTGGTGTATGTATTAATTGTTTCATGCTGTTCCTAGTTAGAGCTGCACATATAACTATATATACTTCTGAAAATGTAATTATTAATTGGTGATATACTGTATTGGGTTTGTGTGGCAAAGTGTTGGTAACAGGGTAGCTACAGGGGTGTCTTCTGTGAGAAGCTGCCAGACGCTTCCCCCATGCCCAACAGAGCCAGTCCCAGCCAGCTCCAAGACGGACCCGCAGCTGGCCAAGGCCGAGCCCATCAGTGACAGTGGTAGGACCTCTGGGATAATGTAGTTCAGAAAAGCGAAAAAAAAATCTGCAGAACTGCAGCTGAAGAGAGGAGTGAGACGATGTGAGAGAAACAGCCCTGCTGACACCAAGGTCAGTGAAGAAGGAGGGGGAGGAGGTGCTCAAGATGCCAGAGCGGAGTCCCCTGCAGCCCATGATGAAGACCATGGTGAGGCAGGCTGTACCCCTGCAGGCTGTGGAAGGGACCCCACGCTGGAGCAGGTGGATGCCTGAAGGAAGCTGTAACCCCATGGGGAGCTCGCACTGGAGCAGGCTTCTGCCAGGACCTACGGACCCGTGGAGAGAGGAGCCCACGCTAGAGCAGGTTTGTGATGAACGGACCACAGCCCCCATTTCCTGTCCCCCTGCGCTGTACGGGGGAGGAGGGAGAAGGGAGAGAAATGGGAGTGAAGTTGAGCCTGGGAAGAAGAGAGGGGTGGGGGGAAGGTGTTTTAAGATTGTGTTTTTATTTCTCATTCCTCTTCTCTGATTTGATTGGTAATAAATTAAATTAATCTTCCTCAAGTCGAGTCTGTTTTGCCTGTGACAGTAATTGCTGAGTGATCTCCATGTCCTTATCTCAACCCACAAGGCTTTCACTGTATTTTCTCAACCCTGTACAGCTTAGTAGGCAGAGTGGCAGAGTGGCTTTGGTGGGCACCTGGTATCCAGCCAGGGGCAACCCACCACATATACAAAAGCCTACATATCAGAAGGAGAAACTAAGGATTGTGTTCTCTCTTTCATGGCTCATTCCATCCAGACTTAAGAGAATAGTGTATTTTAGGGAGGAGGCTTGGAAGCGGACACAAAATGGGAACTATCTCGAATGATTTGTATGTCATCGGGCTTTTAAAAGGTATTGTGAAAGGGAGAAGCAAAGACTCAAGATGTAAATTTATTGGAAACTTTGTTCCTGATACCCATAATCTTTGAAGTTTGTATATCTTGTATTGCAATTGAGTTTAAAACAGCTGTCTGCATATTTTCATGCAGATGATGCCACTGAACAGGGTGTCTGGCTTTCTAAACAAGGAAAGGTACTTTTAGTTGACTAGACAGAGGTCTCTTAATTTTTTGCATTAAACACTTGTTTTTCAAAATAGGAAGTAAAAGATGAACTTTGAGGTTTTTAAAAATGTACAGTAAATACACCCTTTGTATAACAGTCACTATCTGCGTGGGTGTGATGAAGAGTTCTTACAATGTCAAATTTTTGTATACCTGCTGAAGCAGCATCTTCATCTGATCTAATACAACCAGGCATGCCATTTTTGTATTCCCCGTAGAAGTACATTGAAAACCTGTTCAGTGTGTAACTTCATTCCATAACTTGCATCTTACCCATACCTGGGGTTTTTAGGCTAGGTTCTAAATAACTAAATACCCTTCTTTCTGATAATTTTTGAACTAGGTTTGGTGGTCTTTTTTTGATGGCATTTAAAATAAAAATCGAATAGTAGTGACTTTGAAAGTTATTTGAAGCCTCTGCCTTTATTTATGGCATCCAGTGTGCAGTAATTTGGTTGGTTTTTGAAACCCTTGTTCAGAATTCAGTTGCTGGATAATACCTTTCATATTTTAGGTACTATATCTTCCAATGAGTACGTGCTGTACCATCTGTTACTCTGTAGTTGCAGTCAGAAGAAGAATCCCATTGTTAATTAACCTTTTGTAAAAAACTGTATTGTCCATTAATTAAATTCTTCCTTTGTAATTTTTTAATTAAGGTTAATAACTGTAGTTGATACACAATTGTAACATTTTGTAAGGGTACAATAGTGGGTATTTTTATTTTAATTCTTGTTTTTCTAGAATATTGAGTGGTTTTCCATCGATAAGTTACCATGCCACAGAAATGACATGACCCCGAAGTCTAAGCTGGGTTTGGCACCTAACAAATTTTTTATGGCAATTCCCTTCATCAGGTATGTTTGAGATGAGGCAAATGCTAGGCAAGTGCTTTCAGACAACTTTAATTTCTTTACATGTTTTAGTAAGTAGATCTTGCTGTACTTTTCCTTGCTCACAGGCCATTGAGGGAATGGATTTCCCGAAGGAATGGAGATTCCTCAGATAGCGACAATGGATTTTCATGTACAGTGAAAACACCCTCTAAGCTCAACTTGGAAAAAGCTAGGTAAGAAGCAGGTCAGTTTAATAACTCTATACCTTTTCTATAAAACATTGCTCATACAAAGCTGCTTATCCTTTCTCTTTGTCCAAGTATTCATGCTCCAGTAATGAAATGGGTTGGTTAAAAAAAAAAATTGTAGGCATATTTCATAGGACTGTAAATAGGATGAGAAGTTAATTAATGTCATGATACACTTTTTTTGGTAAATGCTCACTTGTCAAAACTGAGATAATTTCTTGACTCGTGTGTATGGGAATCCAAAAATCAGAAGCTAAAACAAGAAGATAATTTGCAGTGCTTCAAGTTCAATGTTTTTGGCACTTCCACAGAGGAAATATAAGACTCTCTGACAGTACTTTACAGTCCTACTTCAGAAGCAGCTAGCTAGATAAAACCTGTGGGGCTCCGTAAGGGAACAAGTGCTGCTGGCTGTTGATTCAGCTGAGCTAAAAGCAGTAGAGCAAATCTTAAAACCTGTAGTCCGAAAGAGAAGGTTATGTTCCAGTAATTTGAGTCAGGTCAGCAACAACAGGACAAGCACTAACGTGGACCCAGTCTGCTGTCTGTGCAGAGCACAGGTTTCCCACCAGCAGGCAAAACAATGTTGGGTGAATGCAGTGAGCATTACCACAGTTTCCACTTGAGGTTACTTAAACTTGTCTTCTAGGGTGTTCTCAAAAAGCAGAAAATCTTTTCATATTTCTCTTCTGCTGTCAATAGGTTGGAATTTGTGCTGTAAACTCTGTTTGTTTTCCTGTACTAGATCCAAACTTCGCTGTAGTCAGCAGGTGTTTACAGATGGCTTTTCAGGAGAGCAGTGTGTGAAGCCAAAACAGCCACAGAAGCCATATAATCATCCTGAGATGTCTGAAGTTTTGAAAATAAAGGTAAGTTGTTTCTTAGGCAAAGGTGAGCATCTGGGTTATTTAAAACAAATATCTTTGTTCATAAGGTTTTCTCTCTGGAATGAAAATACTGAATTTTATCACCCTAGCATGCAAAAAATAAAAACATGGGGAAAAAAATAAATCTTGGGGATTCTTGGATTTATCTAACATTGAAGGTGGTGGGTATCAGGTGGTAGTTGTGTTATTTCAGGCAGAGATGGCAGTTACTGCTCACCATGTTGGTGTCCTCCATGTACCATTTTGAATTATTTTGGGTGCCACTAGTATATATGCATCAGTGTTTGGGAACTCACGGAACTGAATTTATTGTGTAATACAGTGTCTTTAATAGTGCAAGACAGACTGAGTAACAGCTGATGACTCCTTGTAACTTGGGTGTGTGTTTGGTTAATTTCAGTGTACTTCAGTTTGTCTACAAAAGATACTGTTTAGATGTTTTGAGGTTATTTGGAGGAAAGCTTTAACTAGTAAGTAGTAAGTGTCCGTGCAGTGATGTTCAATGTTGGCGTTTAAACTCTTCGCTTCACTACATTTTGGACTTAATGGCAGAGTCAGAGCTTGAGGAGCAATGGCAGAAAGCAGCAGCATCAAGACACTTCCAGCCAAAAGAAGCGAACAAATGGAGTCCACAGTCAACCAGTTAAGCAAAACCATACCTTGGTAAGAAACATGCAGTGGCTCTCTCGTTAACAGGTTCCATTAATGCCCAACAAATTACCAGGCCAACACCCTGCTGAAAGCGAGGAGAGTGCATATCTATCAAAAGTGTATTTGACCAGAATATTTAGTATGTATTTGTAGAAACATGATATTTCTTACCTTGTATGCATATGTATCTGTAGACCAGCATACTAAACTTCCAAGTTTGCATTTTGGAAGTAAGTCTTATTTTAGCTGTGGAAAATTCTTCAGCTGTTGCAGTAGACAATCATGTGGCTTTCCAGGTTCCTGTCAGGTCATAGGCTACTGTAGTGTGTCATAATAAGCCAGTGTAGTATATGTCTTGTTCATTCGTGTATGATATATTATTGTAAGCATGGGGTTTTGTTATGCAACAATTAGATACAAAGTGGTAATGCATATGCTTATTATTTCCCTTCTAGCAAAAATATTGAGGTGCAGACTTGACTTGAATGCTGGAATCTCATATAATTTTTTAATTGTACAGTAGAACTACAGTTTGTAAATTCCTGTATGACATTCTTGGTTTGTTACATTTTCCTTGCAGTAACTGCCTTTGTCTCTACAGTTCTGCTGGCTGGGAGAAGGCTCACTGAGATCTCTCTCTTTTTTTTTCATATAATGTCTTCCCCCCCCCCCCCCCCCTGCTTTTTATGGCTCTCCATTTCTACTTTGTTGGCTCTTGTGCAGCAGAGCGCCCCAGTTCTCCACGCAGCTCAGCTGGCTTGTCCAGGCTTTAGTTTTTCTTGTTTACTGGCTTAACTGGTGCTTTCCCATCCTGGCTTGTGGTTATTACAATCTCTCTGCTTTTCATGTAAAAGTGCAGAAACCATGAACTCTTGTCCTATAAAATCTTCACTGTAGCAAGAAATGGTTAGTTGTGTTTGGGTCTGAGAGCAGACAAATGAAAACTCAAAGAACTGCCTGCTCAGAAATTGGACTGTATAGAAAAAACTGTTAACAAGAATCTGTAGGACCTTGATGGAAACAAGTGGAACTGTTGATACTCCACAGTTACTTTGTAGGCTCTTTACAGACTTCGCTAAATACTTCTGTGGTGTTTCATTTGCATTTTTCATGATTGTCAGTCTTTTGAAGTTTAAATATTTCATGCCCTGGTGATTATTTTCTAGTACAGTTTGGAGGCCAGGGAACTATTAATTTGCATAGACTGCAAAGGCCCCATTTTTTTCTCTGTATTTGTATGCTTACAGCAGCATACCTGGGGCTAAAACTTAGCTCTTCCCTGGAGAGTTCTAAGTTTGTGTCTCTAATGCATGCTAATTTAATTGGGAGTAGTAGCGTGTTTGCAAATACATTCCATTTGCTTTTTGGGACAAGCTGATTGAAGAACGGGCTTATGCTTGTGCAGCTTTGATTCCACACTATCATAGGCAAGACCTTTCCGGCTTAAAAAGTTTAGAAAGCACTCAAAAAATTTTCCCTAAAAGCCTACATTTTAAAAATGGTTTGTTTCACTGTTAGAAGGTTGCCTGCTTCTGAAAGACTTGTGGACTTGAGGCATGCTTACTGTATAAAATGACGTGACAGAATTCATGCTGAGTTGTGGGTAAAATAATTCACACATCAGGACATGTGGCAAAGCAAATATAATCAGCACATCTTTTAGCTGATGCCTAAGTTGTACTCTTAAGAAATAGAATGCTGTTTCTTTATGAAGTGTGTAATGTACGGTCATTCTCTTAACCAGAAATGTGAAAAAAGGCTTAATCCAAGAAGACTTCAAGATAACTTTGAAACAGGCAAGTGTAATCTGGATTTTCATCCGTTGCCATGCGTTACAGGCTGAAGGCACTTGAATAATGATGATTGAGGGCTTTTCGTTGTATGCTAACCTACCAGACTTAGAGCGACAATTTTGCGAGTCAATCTGAGTTGTTTTTTGTGGGTTTTTTTTAAATTTGTTTAACATCATGTGCTGTTTCATGTTGGTTTTGCAATTCTTATCTCTAATTATTAAGAATGTCAGATTATACCAGTGGCTGAGTAAAAAGTAACCAAAAGCTGGTTTAGGAAAATAGCATCCGAGTCAGTACAATGCTGGTGACTGAGTGATGGTTCAAGCCTTTCTGTCCTGCTAGTAATAAGCTGCAGTTGATGTTGGACTACTCTGGAGAGTGCACACAGGTCTTTACTTACTGCTCAGAAAATAGGGCCATTTTTCTTTCCTCCTTATTAAGAAGTGACTTGCGAAACAGCACCTGTGGGTAAAACTGGCCACTGAAAGTGTCTGCAGATTGCTGTGGCTTTTAAGATTTGTTCTTAACCAGATGCCACTAGATTTGTTCGTAACTAGAAGGCACCAGATGACTTGTAAATATGGCAGTTCGAGTTGCTGCCTTCTGTTTATGACCAAACATACAGTTTTTGTCATAAATATTAATTTGAATGTACATTTGAGGTATGGCTTTGTATTGTTATTGATACTCTCAATGATAACTATCTGTTTAAAATATGTTTCGTACTTTCTTCTCTTCAAGCAGATGCAGCATATGAGATGTGTTGCTACAGTGAAGACCCACTGCCAGAAAATGTAGAGGGACATTCTGTGGCATGCAATGGCCATTACAAATTTGCTTTTTCATCGAGAGCTTTCTTGAGTTTCAAGTTTGACCATGATGCCATAATGAAAAGTTTTGACCTCTAAGAGCAAACCTTTAGGAACAAAAATCAGACTTGCCTGTTGCAATTGAGGGGGTTTTTTATCCAGCCTTACTCTTTCTCAGGAGTTTTATTGTTGTGTGTGTTTGTTTTTAAAATGCAATGCAGGGACTGACTGGTGGTTTGGAAGGGTTTGTTCTCGTTGCAGTAGAAGAGTGGCATAGTCAAGTGTTGCACTTTAAATGCAGTATAGCCTTTGTCCACAAAAGTACCTTTCCAGTGTTCAGTTCACCTGTTCCTAGCTGTGCATTAGAGGGCATTCTCTTTTTTTAACTTACTGTGTGTTTTATAGAATGTCATTGACTTTTTTTTTTTACCTGTTGGAGTATACCAGCTTGCTGAACTTTTAACTGCTCTGATGTAAATTATTGGACTTGTTAGTCATTGTTGTGTAGTACATTGCAATATTACGGCAGTGGCAATGAAGCTGATTCTCAGAGGACTCCTCTGTCCTAGTGATTTTGAAACCAAGTTGCACATTTCAAACCTAGCCTCAGCCTGTCATCCTTTCTCTGTCCTGGTTGCTTGCCCAAAATTCCTTCCCTCCTTCACATTGATAGTTTTTGGTGGCTGGCGATCTGTAGTACGTGGAGTCAAATCGATAGCGTGTTGACTTCCTAGCTACTCTGCCTCTGTCTTCAGTAAGGATGCACAAACTGAATAGAACTTAGCCTTGCAAAGTGTCTAGCTTCAGCTCTTATGCACTGTCCCCAGGTGGGCAGGAAGAAGTTGCAAAGTTTTGTGTTATCCCAGTTGCAGCTGCTTTCAAAAAAGAGAAGCTTAAAATTTGTGAGAGGTTACTTGTTTAGAATTTATACTGAATGTAAATAAGCCTCTGTAGATCTTGCTGAGGAGGAAGGCAGGTGCATGGATAATAGAGTCATTGTGTGACACTAAATGACTTAATCAGGCTTGCAATAACTGTTCTAAGGGTGTCCAGTATTGTATTCTGTGCTGTTGTCCTCAGATCTCTTGTGTAGTGTATGCTCTGTATATATCCAGTAGTATTCAATTGCACTTGCAGTTAGCATTTAAATGATGTAGCCTCAGTCGTTTTCAGCTACAACACTTTCTTAGTAAAAATATCAAAGATGGGGGGAGGGGAACAAAAAAAACAGTAAGAGTTGAGGTGACAAACTGTTAAATCACCTTCATGATTCAAGTTTAGGGGTTTTGAACATGTGCTTCGCAGTTGAGACAAGTGCACTGAAATATTTTGTCACAGCAACTAGTGGTAGCAAGCATGTTGTCCCAGATTTAAAAATGGGCTTTTCTCTAAAATAAAGGTGAGTAATTGGTAACTTCATAGGTTGAATGAACTACGCCCTCATCTCATCACGGCGTATGCTCGTGCACTGAGTCTGTATGCAACTCTTGTCATCCAAAAACAAAATCCTGGTCTTCCTTCAACCACCCTACTTCATCTGCCCTACCTGATCTGTTACCTAGTGCTTTTCCTCAAATATAGCTTTAGAACTATCCCCTGGTTTATTTACCTGCCTGGCACTGGGTGATTTGGGACTCTAATGCTGTAATAACCTTGGTGATGGGAATGCTGGACTTCTGTATCAGTCAACAGGAGAAACAGACTACAGCATTTCCTCCTATTGGAGGACAGGAGTCCTTGTTTTTCAAGACCAAACCGTGAAATAGCTCAACCTAGCTTTGGCTGTTCGAAACAGTAAAAAATGGTGAAGAACAGTAATTGAGAAGGTGGGATAATGCTGGAGGAGGTTATATTATTCAGCTTCAGGTGAAAACTAATTTTTAGTTACTTCTTTAGTACAAGTAGTTGATTTCCCAGCAAAAGTGCCTTTACTCATGGTGAGGCAGAAGTTTGTTTTCATATCCTGAGGCTGCTACTGCCTGTGGAGTTAACGAGACTCTCCTAAGGCACGATTAAATATCAAGCTGTCGAAATCTTTAATAAGTTGACTTTTCAGATAAATTACACTTATATTTCATCTAGCGCTCTGTGAAATAAGGGGGATGTTGATGAAACAGTGAACTTGGAGCTTCTGTCAACTGTTTGGGAGATCATGTCCCAGACAGAGGAATTCTTTAGAATGAGGCGTGTCCTATGAATAGGAGATGCTGGCTGCTCTCTATATTCACTGGGTGTTTTTTTTTCTTCTTAGTGAAAGATTAGTTCAGTGTGAGAGAAATTGATTGTTTCATTAAGCAACCCAAAGTGGGGTTTATACATATGTCATGATTTTAGTAAATCTAGCCTTAATGTGAGTTGCAAATAAATGTGATAAATATGCAATAACTTCTTTGTATAAGGGTACTGTTTCTTGTAGTAGCATTGCTTTCTGCTTTCTCAGTAAGGTTTCTAAAACAATGTAAGTGTGGTGGCATGTGATCTACCTTATGGGTTCCATCATGTCCTGCACTGTGAACACTTTTAATTGTTTACTATTGTTTATGTTCTTACTTCAGCATCCTTTTATAATTAAGTATATTTCTAAGTTTAGAAGTACTGTTTACATTATATTCTGTAAAACAGTGAAGAAATAACAAGTGAGATACAGAATTTAGTTCCGTGAGTTTTTATTTTATGGGAGCTAGACACAGATAAACAAGTAACTGTTTGCAAGTCAGAGTCGAGAGCTGATGTCAAGATACTTGAAAAACAGACATTGCTCTATTTGAGGAGGCTTGCCTGTAAGGGGCTATTCAGGTTATGAATGGTCATTCCGTGTTCTTGAAATTAAAGAACTTGTGGAATAAACAAACGTTTATCAAGAAACCTACAAATGTGTGGGTGCTGGGAATCTATTACTAGCTTGCAGTTTCTAGTACTGCATAAACTCCCTGCTTTAGTGGGAGATTTTTAGCATCTTTCCTCACAGAATGCTCTAAACTTCGAACTCTGACCGAAGAGTGGTCTGCCTAACTGAACGACGTATGTTCTGCGCTGAAATGCTGTTAACTTCAACACCTTGATGTACGTGCATGCTTTTCAAAGTAGTCATGTCTTGTACAGTTTGAAGTCTGGAAACAGTGGTACTGGGAAGAAGATGGGAAATAGCTTTATTTATTGCACAATCAAAGTATTTTTTTAACACAATGTAAATTCTTTAGAGCAAACTTGCATAAATAGTTTCTAATAAAATTTTGGGCTTAGTCACTGTTCTAGGCTTCTGTGCTGTGCTCCAACTTTCCTGATCTAATTTGGTGATTTCAGAACAATACTTCCTGTGTTTTTTTCCTTCACCTACCTGTGGCTGTTACAAATGTAACAGTTCCTTTTAAAAACAAGAGAGGCTTCCAGTCTGGCTGTTCCCAACAGACTTGCTTTCAGATAAGAAATTATTTTTTCCAAATTTTACTTACTGTAGTAGAGTTGCTTTTTGTCGATTTACAGTTGATAGCAGCACTGAAGTCATTATGGTGTGAAGAGCAAGAGTCTACATGAAGAATCCAAGCTCTACTGTCCTGTGGTGCAAGACAGCACTGCTGCTCCATGGGTGACTGGGTGTCCAGTTGTTGGGTCGGTGAACTGTTTAATCCTCAGCAAAGTGTTTTTCATAAATCCTGAGCAACAGAGTTTTTTTCAAGCAGTAAAGTCACGTGCCTTCATCTTTTAAATTAGGAGGTTATATTCTAAATGTTTTAGGGAGCTGAAAATTATTGAGAACTGGTAGAATAGCCTATCTTGTTGATTTAAAATCAGTTTATTTACAGAAATGAAGTCTTGCTCTGTAAATGTTAAATAATCTGGTGCTTATACATGAGTTCATAAGTTCAGCTTGTTTTTGTTATTACAATACTTCAGCTTTTGAAGCAACCAAAATTATTTAAGTTATGGTAAATTTCTGTAAACCAACTGAAGGTGCTTTTACAGTAAATTAGGCTCGGAAATGTCTCTTGCATAACAGGTTTTTTGTTCGTATGCATTTATAGCAATAGTGTAGTTCAAGAATGAAAGTAGACTAATTGCTAGTATTTGCACTGTTGTTAATCCTGTACATAAGCACTGATGGATGCAGTAGGACTTGTGCTGTGTGTACACTTCACTGTTTCAAGTAGATTGTGAACTTAAAAGGAAGACAACAAATGTAGCAATTACATTGGCCGTATTCAAGATCGTACAAGAGGAAGTATTCTGGAGTAGTAGTAGTGCATTAAAATTAAATGCTGGGGTTTTAACTTGTCTTTTCATTGAAAATGTTAGGTTAAGCTAGACTGAACTTATTGTATAGATTCAGCTTTACAGAAACCCTTATCTTTAAATTGTTCTCAGCTCTGGGATACTTCTGGAAGGAAGTAAAAGTGTCTTCGCTTCCTCCTTCAATACTTGCAGGAAAAAAAAGAATGCTTGCTTTTGAGTAATTATCAGAATTTCACAGGGTACAGAATGTCTAAATTTGAATAGGTCCACTACGAAATTTACTGAAAGCAATGTTGAGTATTTTGTCATTGTTAAGCATTTATATTGTTGATCAGAAGAACTAGCTTCTAGTTTCCATTATGCGTTACAGTTCAGTGCCTTTAAGCAAATGATTACAGCTCATGGAGCATTAATCATTCTAAAACAAGGCATTTATAGCTTTTTAAGAATATTGATCCTGCAAAATCAGTTCTCTACAACACACTTCTGAGTGTAACAAAAACTTACTTAGCAAATTTTTTTTTAAGCATGTTTGAACAAAATTACTAAACTAGAGAGACGAACCATATGTATCTTACTGGTTGGGTACCTATTTTTGTTATGCTGTAAAAGTATGCAAAACTGCATGATTAAGAGCTTGCAGCAAATACTTCTCAAGCCTATACATAAAAGAGGATCCTTAAGTAACTTTACTATGTCTGCATGGCACTGCAGTTATGTGGAAGCTGTAATTCAGCCCTGAGGATAGTTTAGCTGGGTTTGCAAGGCACTTTAACATTAAAAAGCAAAATAGACTCCACAGAAGAAGGTGGGCTTTTGTTCATTAATTTTGGCATAATGCTAGATTGCTGCCCATGTTCCAGGTCCCAGGCTGACTCAGGTATTGCTGCCCAAAGATAACACTTTTCTGTGCAGCATTGCATGCCTTGTAGAAAATAGGGAGCCAGTGTTTGTATGGCTCATGCATGAAGGGTTATGTCTTCCTCCTGTTTAAAGCTCAAGAACTTGATCTGTTTTCCTTGCTGATATGTAAGTGGCATATCAGTGCTAATTAAGTAGAAAGTACATACAGCTAATGGGGTTCAAACCTTGTGAAGTTACAGATTTTATTGAATTTCCATTATGTTATCTTGGAAGAAAGTTTGCGTTAGCTCTTCAGTTTTAGTAAATAAAATCTGTAACTACCTGTAACATCTGTTGTATCAATGATTGTGATTTTATTTGTTACTCACTGATTCAGAAACTGAAGCACACCATTTAAAAGGCTATGACTAAGTGGACATTTTCTTCTATACTGTAATTTTGCTCTGTAAAATTAAATGACTTTATGTATAAACTTACTGAAGTACTGAAGTATGAATGTAAGCATTGCCGATCAGTGTGAAATGTAAAGCCTGTGCTGCTGGCACAGGTTATTCTTTCACTGTAGAATGTTTAAATGTTGCCTTAAGCCAATCAGCAGCACTGATCATATATAGTACCACGAAAAGAAGTATTATTTTTTTAAAGTCAATTGTAAAGGTGGATGATGGGCCCATCAAATACAATGGAAAGCAAAAAAAAAAAATTTTTTACAGTTGTTAGAGTTACTGGAGAAATGAAGTATGTGAACTGCAGTGAGTGCTTATAAAGTATTAATGAAATAGCAATTTTTTTGGGGGTGGAGGTGGTCTATATAACTTGTTATTAAAAGAAGTCGATGTATGGAAGCAGTTTCATACGTCCCCTTCCATTTCAATGAAGTGTTTATTGAAATTGTAGAGGGTTTGTGGCAAGCACTAATGCTCTTGAGCTCAGCTAAAACCTATCTTGGAGAAGTTGTCTGTGGTACCTTTAAGCAGACTCGTTCAACAATAAGATGACAAGGTATGGTAAAGTAACCCCCAAGGCAAAGAAACAGCATTAGAAATTTATTCAGAATATAAGAACATTTGTAAAATAAGTATTATAAATGTCTCTGTATAAATAAATGCAGTTTTTACAATTCTATATCAAATAAACACAAAATAGCTATTTTACAGCAGCTAGGAAACTAAAAAGCAGCAACACATTTAGAACTAATTCAGTAAGGTGAGAAGTTTCTAAAATTACAATGTATGGTACAGTATTAAAGGAGGAGAAAATCCTAATAAAACCAGTAGAACAATACTGACATTAATGCAAACTTAGTCACGTGTGCTTTGCAATAGCTAACAGTACATTCAAGCTGGTGAAGATTTATACATTTAATTAGAAAAGAATTACTTTTTTTCTGAAGACACTCAGAAGTACAAAGTTTCATGCACTCTGGTGACGTAGAAAATCAAAAGAAAACCCTAAGATTAATTAATGAGTGAACAACTTAGGTTCTTTTGGCAAGAACCACCTATTTTTCTTGCTTTGCAAATGTATTAATTCTGCAACAAGTGTTCAGTGAGTTGGGTTGCTGTAACTCAAGGTGATTTGCACACTTGTCTGCTGGATGCTATACTGGTATTTCAAACAGTTGTGTAAAAGGAGTTCGGTTTTTGGTGTTTATTCTCAGGGTTAGTGCCATTTTAACAGGTGCACTGGAACTGCAGCTAATCGTTAATATTAAACAGTGTTCACAATAACAGTAAACCTTTAACCACTTCCCTATTGGCCTTTTCCAGTCTGCCAACAAATGAAGCAGTAGCTGCTTGCTCAGGCAAAACAACGGGTGGCCTGGCCAACTGCAGCTACTGCTGAGGGGCTGTGACACCAGTCTTGCTTTTTCATCTGTGAGCCCTATGGAAGAAAGGGGCAGTGGCTTACACTTACTGATTATTTATAATTTATTCTGAAACACTTTTAGAACAACAGTTGGCAAGGAACCCTATGCCGTAAATGCGTAAACCACCGTTCAGTTTGTGCAGAATCAGCAAAGTGTTAGGCCTGAAAAAGGCCCTAAGGGACACTGCAGCTTTTTATGCCTTAAAACCCCGGTGCATTTTATGCTTTCTTAACTTGTATCTGTCCTTTAGAAACAGGTTTCCATTCAAATGCTTTAAGCGTCATTGTATTATGTTTAACAGCTGCTCTAGCTACCAAGAACTAGAAAAAAATGAGCCTAAGAGGAGATCCAGCAAAGCAGTGGTTTCTAGTCACTTTAAGTGAAAGGTATTTCACACGGACAGTTTGAAATGACCTCAAGTTACATGGGTATTTTAGATGCACGAAGACAAAACTGTAACTGCGTTTTTGCCACAGTACACAGTGGATAATTTTCTTTGTGTTTCTCCAGAAACAAGTATGATCAGCTACCACTGAAGCTTATAGCAAAACTCCACGTTCTTTTTCATGACAAGCTTGTTGGCCAAGGAAGGGAAACACCGTAGTTAGATACTTAGAAAAACCATAAAGACAGGAAGAATCATTGTGCTTGCTCCCTCAACAGGCTGCTTTGCAAAAATTTGCATTGTATTTGTATTGCAAATTAAGAAGTGCAATTATCTTGAGAAAGGGGACTGATCAAAACCAGTCCCAGGACATCACCACCTACAATTTAATTTTGAAATCAGCATTGTTTTAACTTTCTATTGCAATCAGTTATGTATGGTATTGGCCTTGTAGCTGATGTATCAGACTGTAGAGAACTAGGAATCACTACCCTAAGAGAAGAAGAAAAGAGCAGCTACAGTAATAAGAGATGTCATGAACACAAACTGCTACAGTTTCAGATGTAACCAAGACCAATTAACAATAATGCCATATTCTGAACACAGATTCCTACAACTATTTTGGCTGTCTGGCCTCACCCCAGAGTAGACAAAAATGGTTCATGTCCTCTAAAAATATTTCTGTGGTACTAGAAATTGGAGGAATAAATGAGAGAAGTTACAATTCTAAATTCACTAATAAAACTTGAGGTGCAACTCAACATATGAAGCAAAAACAATAGATACCTCCTGAAATAAGATTCACTCAAAAACAGAGCCTGAAAAATATGAAGTAGAGGTGTAACACGGTAACAGGCTAATGAAGTTAATGGACTCTAGTTTGGTATGTTAAAAAAAACATGGAAGCTGTATTACATAGTCAAAAAGAAGCGGATTCTGAATGAAACGGGTGCTACGGTAAGCTCCTGTGTTTTTCTCCCTAGAGAAATCAACCTGATCTCCATGCTTTGCTTAATGTTCATTACCATCATAGGTCAGCATTTTCAACTCAGTTGGTTTAATAACATAGTAACGTGATGTGACTTAAACAAAAGAGAATGCTAGCAGTAACAAAAACTAACTTAAGAAGCTGTATGAAGACTTCACCATTCACATTCTGTTTGTGGCTCTATATCCATACTCCTACATATTTACAGTTTTGTGGCTATGTATTGAATATTAAACAGGTACAATTGTAATAAGTACCTTTTTTTGGTCAAAACAAGTGTAAAAAGAAGACATTCTACCTCTTGATCACAGGAAACTGTAATAAGCACTACACATGACAAAAATGGCCCAGCTGTTTAAAGAAAACCTTGGCTTTAATGTATTAACAAGAAAAAACCAGCTGTTCACAAAATAACTGCAAACACCATGCAATGTAAATACCAGGAGATCCCGTACAATTTCTTACCCAACCTTGGCACAGACTGTCTGTCTGGCATGATGAAACTCACAGCCTTTAGTCCTCTTACAAACTGGAAGAAGGACACCATTATCAGTTTTCAGAGATGCAGCTAGAGTTTCTAGGTTTTTTCCCCCAAATCAACAGGAGTTTTCCTACCTGATCTGCACCATGAGCACCAGTACTGCAAGTACGGTGCAAAAAAGCAAGCCAGCCTATCATCTCCCCACTCTGCAGCTGCCTGTTTAGTTGATTTAACCACAGCAGCAAGTCTTGAGGGTACAATATAGAGCTGTATGCTGAGGGAGCTCAAGGATCAGGAAAACTCTCAAAATTATCTCCAAACTGCCCAAATTAAAACTTCGTAACACAAATTATTTTGCTGTGTGGCACTGTTACCCATGGGACATACTTAAAATGGAAGAGAAGCTGTATGACTACAGACATAATGACACAGACAACGTACATAATTATAGCATGATAATTCAGGCACTGCCATTTTACATTATGAAACAGTACTTAAGGTTAACACTTACATTATCCCCATGACACCTCTCTGGGATCCCAGAGAAGGTGCTTAAGTGTGTCAGCATTGACAGTCAGAGCATTTAGTATTTGAAGCTACCTGAAAGCCTCCAAAAGAAAGAAATTTGTAATGGCACTAAGCATCTTTGAAAGAGATGCATTTAAAGTGAAGTTTCATTGGTGTGTGGCCTAGAGTTCTCTTCTTCTAGTAAAGCTATTCTTTGTTTGAGCATCCTCACTTGTGTTTCGTGTCTCTCCACCATGGCCATCATTTGCGATTCCAGTTTCTTCAGCTTATTTTGATGCTTTTTCTTTGCTTTTTCATAAGCTGCTACCAAGTTGCTGTTAGAAACACAAGGCGATACAAGGTCACTCAAAAAAGGTTTGTTCCTAGCAAGGGCTACAAAAATCCACCCAAAAACCCCACCTTCACAGAACTCCAAAGTTTGGGTGCTGTTTGTCTTAAAATTTACTAGTGCTTTAAAATGCATTAGATCTAAACCCAGATCAATAGCTAATCTCTCAATTTTTGGGGGACAAGTACACACCTTTACCAGTAACCTTGTTACTGAAAGCATTTTTAAACACGGTTCAGAGAGCCATCTAGAGGTTGCTGATGATGACCTTGCAGAGCACCGTTTGTGAGTCAGGATATAACATTAAACACGTAACATTGCATGGCCAGAATCTGCTTACAAAATCCAGCACTGATTTTGCATTTTTCCACTAAAAAACAAAATAACAGTTCTATTCACAAGATGGCACCTTGTGCTAATTTGTCAGCTGCTCAGTATATTCTGTGCCTCCACCTGACTTGGCAGGAAAGCTTGGGATGGGCACTGGTCCTCCCCGCAAGGGCTTTCAAGTATAATTTATTTATGAAAACTACATTGTGAGTGATAGACTCCTTGCAGGAATGGCAGTTACAGTCTTTCCAAACACAGCGCCAGTAAAATCTACTGAGTGAGCAATAAAATTTCAGTGTCATTATCAAAGCCAGCTTATTAATAAAGAGGCTAGAGTCAAAGACAATGGAGCAATTTTAAACAAAATAACAGACTCATAAATCTGACTAAATGGAGTTTTTTGTTTGTTTAATAATAATGCATTTACTAGCAACTCAGAGTAACCTATTTCCCCCACTCTCTTCTCAGCTGTGTAGTTTTCACTGTCCTACATGGGAGGTTCAGACCTCCCCCATCTCTAACTATAACCTTGAACAGTCAACTCGTGTGAACGCAAGGATGCAGAAACTGCTCATTAAGGTAGAGGGAGGATTACAGTGCGTTACCAGAACATGGCAAAAAAAGTAAATGGTGCGTCCATCTGCTAGTAAATCCTTTACCTGTTTGCCCTTTTGAGGTCATTAACAAATTCTGCAGACTGCTGATGTCTGATTTCACTGCTCTTTGTGAGTCTCTCCAAAGCACTCACCAACTCCTGCACTCTAGCTTTCAGTTTCTTCTCCCTGGATCAGGTGAAAAGGAGGGAGAAAATTATTTTCAAAACAGAAATAACACTTCAGTTTTCAAGTGCATGAATGGTTGTCGTGTGCTGGGTTGACAGGCTGAAAATGTTTTCCTTACTACTACCTGGATAATACAGGAGGTAGTTCTTACATTAAACTTTTCCAAAGGTTGATTTTTATAACATTCATCATTTTAGAATACAGGATCAGAGATGCAGCAGACAAAAGAGAAAACAAACTGCTCTGGTGGATCATCGTCTTATACATATTGTATGTAGTGTTCACACTAAGAAATAATCACAAATATACATAGATAAAAATTTAAGAATACCTGGCACATGCCACCTACTGTGTTTGAATGAGATCGCAAAGAAAACTACCAAGGGAAGTTAAACACCATGGTAATCATATAGGAATTTTAATTTAAAATAGCATACCAGGATTGCTATTAAAGATAATTTACTAAACAAATTTATTTTTACTTAGAAATTACTATAGAGTCACAGAATCGTAGAATGCTTTGGGTTGGAGGGCACCTTTAGAGGTCATCCAGCCCAACCACCCTGCAGTGAGCAGGGACATCTTCGACCAGACCAGGTTGCTCAGAGCCCTGTCCAACCTGGCCTTGAATGTTTCTAGGGATGGATGGGGCATCCGCCATATCTCTGGGCAACCTGTGCCAGTGTTTCACCACCCTCAGAGCAATTCCACTGATTTCTGTTACTACCTCGAATTTACCTTAGCAACTGGTACTACAGTCTGTATTACAGTAGATCACGAACATTTTTTAGGAAGCAAGTCCCGTCCATGTGGTAGTGGGAAACAGAAGAAGTTAAGAACAAAGTACAGACAGAAAAGGGCAAGCACAAGAAATACAGAAGAAGAGAGAGCACAGGCATTTTCCCCTATGAGGCACTCTTTTTCTGTCAAATAAGCCACAGTAGTCAGGTTTAAAATGCCAATATAGTTACTGATATTTACTTACCAATTATGAACCAAAAACTAATTACATGAAGTGTGCCCAAGTGGAAGTCAGGCACCTTACAATATTTTTACGTTATAAATACCTCTATGAGGGAAAGAAAAAGCGAACAAGGCAGAAGTTCTGGGGAGGACTCAGCGTTACATCTTGGGGTTTAAGCTGGCTTTGCAAAGCGTGTCCCATCAGAGGTGAGCGCGTGGCACGAGGCAGGGGTTCCTCCAGGGAGCTCCCCGCTGCAGAGCTGGTGGGCGCCTGCAGCCCGCTCCCATACAGACGTGGGACTGTCCCGTCCCTCGCACAAGGGTGCTGGTGTGGAGACCCAGGAGCCGTTCTCTGCGACCCGTCCTCATAGCACAGGCAGCCCAGAGAGAAAAACATTAGATTTAAAAGTAAAATAAAAGGGGATACAAATGACGTGGAGCTGGGCTAAACTGGGACAAAGTCAGATTTTGCAGCATCAAACCTGACACTCGGGAACTTTGCATGCGTGGAGACGCTTGTCCGCCCCTTGCTGCCTAGAGCTGCTTCGCAGTGATCCGCCTTTCCCTCCCGTTTTTGTTGCAGTGCCGCTAAGTGACCAGACCAGATTTCGCCTGGGCGTAAGCCCACGGGAACGAGCACCCCGAAGCCTGCGCAGGCCCCCCGGGTTCTGCCGAGCCCCCCCGGGCGCTGCCCCTGCCCATCCATCGCACAGTCCAGAGGCTGGCCCACTGACGGCAGCGAGCGGCCGCTGGACGCGGGCACTGCACACCCAACAGAAGGGCTTTCACCAGGTCCGACGGGGAAATATTCCAAGCCAGCAGTCTCTCCCAGCGCGCTGCGGGCCCCGGCTTACTGGCCAAATTAAAAACCACATAACAGCGGCCTTGTTGATGAGGAATCATCAGTATTCTTTATGCGTCCTCCCACTGAAGGAACACACTCTCAGTTTTCAAATTATACAATCTTTTTCCCCAGTGGTTAAAAGCTCACTGCCACCCACCTCAAATATAAATTTTATTTTTTATAGCCTAAATGAGCAGTCAGACAGACTCAGCACAGTCTGCAGTCAAAATCTGTCTTCTGCAAAGAAAATTGGAACAAAAATCCCAGTTTTCACTCGCAATAGAAGACCAGACTTGGCAGAGGCCAGACCTGTTATCTCACGCGTGTGTGGCACTACTGATACGACAGCACAGCGCGGGGTAAATTTGGTGTTTGTCTGCTCCAAGGGACGCTGCAGCCCGCGGCTGTGGGGAAGGCTCGGCAGCACCGGGCCCAGCACTGCGACCCAGTGTGAACAGAAGGTCCAGCGAAATAACCATTTGCAGTATTTGGACAGGGGGAGAGAAGAAAACTAAAAATCACATGAGGCTGATTTAACATTACGTGGAAGAAAAGGTGTAGTTGTGAAGACACTGCGCACAGTCCCATGGGAAAGAACCCTGTGGAGCTACAGTTTACTGCAGCTGGAGTCCTTCACACACTTGCTGTAACAAAAGCTGCGTGGAAAAGAAACACAGTGGGAAGACTTGGAGGAACTTGTCATGCACGTTAAAGTTTGGCTGTCATGGTGACTGTTACCTGATAAAACTATTACATCACTTTTCGTCTGCTTTTGCACTCACATCTTTCAACCGAACTCGGCTAAATGGCAAGAGGCGTTTCTCTACATTTGGCCTATAACATCCTTGTCTTGCTGCTTGCCAAAGATACAGAGCCAGCAGGGTGGTAAGCACCCTGAGCCTCCACAAGCTAGTTATTCAGATGCTAGTTCTGAACCATCTAGCTAAATAGGTGACAGTGGGTAATCCTTTAAATCTATTATAGATGCCTCAAATTTACATTTACACCAGTAAAACACATGTATTCTCTGAGCCGACAAGATCCAGACAGTTCTTTTGGCTTTTCTCAGTGTCTTGAAGTCAGTGAAAACAGCACTATCCAGTGCCTACTCCCACTTTAATCTCAGGGAAAGCAATGGGCGGTTTGAATGCATGTGCTGAAATGTCCCAAAACCTTACGAAAACAACACATAGGGATCTACTTTTACACTTACTGTTCCTGATTTAAAACATGCCTATCTAAATATCTTTACATCAAGAGGCATTTCATAGAAAAGTAACGCCTGAGTAGACAGACATAGCAGCAACAGCAAAGGCACGGTAAACACCTTGTTTTATTCTGGGAATTAAAGATGCATATACACTTGGTCAATGACTATTACATGCGAAAAACATGCAAAGTTTTCCCTGGAATGCTGCACCTTCTATTTTAGTAGCAGATGAGAGACCTCAGAGCTGTACCTCACTGGCTGGCCAGTGAATGCTCTATCCCTTTGTAAAAATCCTGTGCCTCTAACTATTCCTACTTCTCTCCATTTCTGTCACTAATTACCTCAGTTTGTACAGAAAGAATTGTCCTTATCTGTGTCTCTCCAAAACTGATTGCTTAGCTGGGCAGTGAGCGCGAGTGATAATGAATCCTGAGGTGCCATCTGTATTCCATTAATGCGTTCCAGGGTTAGCTGTCTTTACTGGATTTCTAGCACCACTTCCCTTTCCTGGTTGCAATTATAAATCATCAGGATATGAGGAATCAGCCACTATAGGCTTAATAAGAATATTTTAAAACAATAGTCCTAGTCATATGCATCATTTTTCCAGGATAAGAATGTGTCAAAGCTGCAAACCAGGGACGGAACTGCATTTGATGCAACAACCATACGAACACCCTCCCGACAGGGATCGGCGTATGGCTGCGGCACGGCCTTCTGCTGCCAGACACTCTTCCAGAGTCTGAGGAGCAAACTTGCACAGGAGCTTCCACATCAAACTCACACTGCTGTCATGCCCAGGGCTGTAATACCGACCCGTATGGCTCCTGAGAAAGCATTCGTGTGTGTATTTTGATGGGAAGACGGAAGGAGAAGCAAGTATTTTTAGGAAAACGCTGTTTCTGCGACTCCCCGAGTCACGAGTCAATGGGACCGCAGAAGCCAGCACAGCTTCTGCTCCCAACAGTTCCTCTTCCTTCCAGCTACAGCCGCCGGAGCTGCGGCACGCACAGCCACCACACCTTGTGTGCAGAGAGCATCAGCACGTATTCCCAGAAGAGGGAACAAGCTTCTGGTCTGAGGGCATGGCTCCCGTCCATCACAACAGCTCTCTGCCGCGGGGCACTCCAGCAGTCAGCTGGGGGGATCCCCGACTGCTCCCTTTCCAAGGAAAAGCTCAGAACAAGTGTATTCGGAGGCCCACAGCCCACTCCAACATCTGCTAAAACCACTGTTTTCAGTGAAATGCCTAATATGCTGGTAACAACGACTTTTGTTTTGTATTCTCACAGTCAACGCAGCCAGTGGGCAGTTGCTAAGCGGTTTTCAAGGGCTTTTTGTTTCAGACTTATGGGATGGTCTGAATAGGAAGGCAAGTGGGCAGGGCCCAAGGTTTTCCCCCACTGCAGAGAGCGGGGAATTCTGCCAGGGCCGTAAAGGAAGCTATACAACATCAGGCACATTTCTGCAGTTCCTGTCAGTTCGGCCTCCGCACAATGACACCGTGTTTGCCCAGAATCATGTCAGCAAGGTCTTGCTCACCTTGTATTTTCCCTCCTGTCTGGGCTTTTCGAGACGTGTTTATGTTTCATATGCCAGAAGTCTTCCCAAGTGGGTTTTCCTGCCATTGCTCATTTCATCAAGAATTCCCCAGTGCTGCAAACATGAAGATGCTCCTCCCTGCAATGCAGAAGGCTGATCTTTCTACCCCTGGTTTGGAGTGTACCCAGTTAACTCCCCCTCTTGAGAAAGCACAAGCTATCACCCCTCTGCCCTGGGGCCAAGAGCACCCACAGCTCTTGCCAAATCTGGGGAGTAACAAGCTCTCACCAAATCAGGAGGTGAGAAAGTTTCCCACAGCTGGGCAGAGAAGTCAGGGACCTTCGGGGCCTGATGATCCTATACCTTGCAATCCCTGCCAGGGAGCACTGCCTGCTACAAGCAGACCCCTTCAAGTTCTGACTCCCATGTCGGAGCGGCACC